AAACTTAACATGCGCACCTTTTCCGCATATGTAGAGCTTATAAGAGGCTTATAATTAGGTTTGTTTTTTTGCTAAATGCATTTCATTGATAGTGCAGTGGTTAAATGCGCTGTCATCAGTGTTGTTTTGGAGGGTTTAAAACCTCTTAGCGTAATAAATTTTGAAATTTTTTCTTGCTTATATATTTATAGCAAAAAAATAAGAATATAGAAAAAAATTTCTAAAATTTAAAATAAAGTTTTTAAGTTTTCTTATTTTATAGATATATAGATATACGCGATTATTCCATAAAATGCCTGCAAACTCAACATAAAGACGTTTACACTTACATAAATTTGTATCTAATGCTATACAAATGAAATTATAAAGATCTAAGAGCACTAAACCAAAGTCATTAAAAAAAATTAATTCTTATGATTAAGAACTAAAAGAGTATAAAACGTTTATCTAAAAGTTAAGCCAAAATGATTTTGGGCATTGACGTCAGTTTGTGGCAAAATAAACCTTTATGCATCAAGTTTCCTTTTGCATTTATATTACATTTTTTTATAAATTTTTATTATGTTGCATACAAAGGCATTAAAATATATAAAACTGGTACAGGTATATTATTTTTACGGATAAGAGGTTGTATTTATTACAATAGTAATAAATAAATAGTTTTGGGGCCATCCATAAAAGACATCATCATTTTTCATCCAATTTTTGACCCCTCCCCCTTTGTCAGCAGTTGTCCTTTTTCCGTATACCCCCATGAAAAGGATGTCATAAAATCCTGCACCTCCCCCTCTTCTTTCCCTACCCCCCCCCCCCCCTACCCCTTCCTTCCTCCCCAATTTAAACCCCAAAAAAATTATTTCATCTCGCAATGATATTGAATCTGCTGCTATACCTTTGAAAAATAAAGTTAAAAATATTCTTATACATTATCTTAAAAACACATATTTATATAGTTTTTCATGTTAATTAAACTAAAATAAAAAATCTATAAAGTGGCGTCCTTTTCTGATAAACTCTCCCCCCCCCCTTGTGCTTTTTTTTTTTTTGTATCTCAAACTCATCCCTCCTCCCTATTTGTATGACGTCCTTAATAAATAACCCCTTTTTGTCTTTGTTAGAATATATACCATAAAAATGTATTCCATATATCTTTAAATAGATAGAGTTTTATTAAAAAATAAAATAAAATCTTATTTCTATGACTATCATTTTTAAAGGTCTAAAAAGCAGATGACATATTTTTAGAAATCAGAAATTATCGAGAAGGGAGCAAATCTACAGTTAAAGTTTCAAATTTTCTACTCTGAAGAGACGATATGTTTCATGTTTTTTTAATCTTGTCAATTTTTTTTAAATATAACTACAAAAAATCAAGACAAAACAGCTTGAGCAAAAAAGACTTTTTTTTTTTTTTTTTTTTAATTATTAGAAAAGTTTACCTATACTACATACAATTCTAAATAAGACATTCTAAATAACATTCATAATTCTAAATAACATTATATAAGAGTATTTTTTTACATTTTATAAACAATATATATAAACAAATAGCATATATGTTTATATACATTGTTTATATAGAGATGGTTAAGCGCAACAAAGTTTAAAAAAAAATTATTTAAATATTTTAAAATTAAAAAATATAGCGTTTCTTTGCAAAAAGTGCTATAATAAAAGTTTGAACTGCAATTACTATATTCACTAAGATAAAAATTTTCACTATAAAATTTTTAAGCAATTATTTTTAATTTTTTTGGTTTAGTGGCTTTTGTTAAGAGCTTTTGAATTTTGCATCAAATTATCTAGCTACAGGCTTTTTTTTTTTTTGCCTTCACAGCAGCACCTTCTTGAGAAGCAGGACTTTCTTATTTATTTAATAAAGTTTTTTTTTAATTAAGTTTCTGATAACTTTTTTTTCATACTATTCGCAGCTTGTTAGGACTAATTACCTGAGCACATTAATAACATAAGTGTCTCAATCATCATACATACGCAACAAATTTTTTCTCCCGGTGATGTTTTTTGTTTGTTGATGTTTTATGAAATTTTAGCTTTCTTAAAATCTTTTCTTTTGTGAAAGTGTATAATATTGTTATGTTACATATGTTTGTATATAATCTTTATAAAACTTCAAAATTATTTTGTATTTTAAAATAATCGAAAAAAATTAAAAAAAAAAAGCCGCCATTGGTAGGAATGAACCTCGGCTTACTTGTTCAGAGGCTCAGCGCCTTATCCACTCGGCCACACTGGCACATACTCAAGCCAATATTTTTAAAACAATGTAATGATTTTTTTAAGGAAAAAATGTTATAGATCAAAATTGAGAAGAGCTTGTCGCAATGCAATTTTCAAGTGATAATCAAACTGTAAAACTTGATAAATGTTTCTGTATGTTTTAAGATTTCTTAATTTAAAGTTTACATATGTTGTATACGCAATATTTGTATACACATTTGTTCATGTTTTCTTATAAAACAAAGTACTGCAACTTTTTCTTGCCATTACCTCGCTTGCAATGGTTGCCAAGGGTACCGTGTCAAACAGGCTCGAAAGCGCACTACTACTACTACTACTACTACTACTAACACTATTAAGTTTGACAATAAAATATAATAGATTTGAATCAATGAACACTGGGATACTGATGTCATGAATTTATTAAGCTGACTCAAGAACCCTGTAATAACTCCTTTCAGAGATACAATAACTTTTGCAGACTTGTTGGCATCTTGAATTCATGATTTTTATGATGTTAATATTATTAAAGTAACTTTCAGTAATCCTACAGATAAAATAAATACTACAAATGAATTAAATCCTATAGATGAAATAAATCCTACAGATGAAATAAATCTTAAAAATGAAATAAATCCTACAGAGAAATAAATCCTACAGATGAAATAAATCCTTACAGATGAAATAAATCCTACAGATGATATAAATCCTACAGATGAAATAAATTCTGTTGAAAGATGTTGATGTTGAAACATAACATCTCTTGAAAGATGTTGATGTTGAAACATGTTGATGTTGAAAGAGTATTTTTTATGTACTTAAAAACAAAAATTAAATCCTGACTTTCAGATAAGTAATTATTAGAACTTTTTTTTTTGAAATACTATTATAAAAAGTAAAGTTTAGTTAGGTTATAAAGTATTAAATAATTTTGTATTTATATAAATTAAGTTTTCAAATTAAAAAACTTAACTCAAGCTCAAACTAAAAAAATAACTGTTAGCAGCTGTTTTTATAAAACTATAAAACAGTAAAAGCTGTTTTTTAAAAAAAATTTCAGAAACCCTAGTAAAAACTTGAAACAGAGTTATCAATCGTCTAACGAGTTTTTGAAATTTGGAATATTTTTTTCACCTATTAGGTTTTTAAGTCTGTTAGCTGTTTTTTGTTATATTGAACCTATTACATATATTGTTTAAGCAATTTAGTAATGTGACTTTAAGTAATTCCAGTGAATGTGACTTCTGAATTTGCTTGAACAATATAAGAAATAGATTCTTTTACTCATATTACAAAATTTTGTTTACTTATGCGAAAACGTTTTAATGCCTTCAAAGGTTTTTTTGTTAAACTGTATTTAACAAAGATATTGATGGTAAAAAAAAAAACTTTTTATGTAACAGTTTGTACACCTACAAGTATATCTTAGTAGTAATGTATACTGGATCATTTCTAAAGAATATTTTGTGGCTATAAAGCTCTGTATTTTTTATTTCATTGAAAATGCTGATGTGATTTTCTAATGTAGTGTTTCTAATATAAGAAAAATCTTTTAATATACTAATAAATTTATTAATTACTTGTTGTTGCTGTTGTTTTGAAAAATTTTAAGAAGGTTCTGTATCAAAAAATTTTTAATATGAATAAATAAATAATTTCATCTTTTTTCAAAACCAATTTCTCTTTAGAAATTAAAAAACATTTTTAAAAAATTGTTGAAAAATAAATAATAAAAATTGTTGAAAAAATGTTGCCTAAATTAAAAGATCGTTTTTTACTGATTATGGAATATTTTTATAAATATTTATTGTTTATCCAATTTATAAATTATTGTATTCTATCCAATTTATTGTATTATTATTTATTGTAATCTAGTTGTTGCCTCAAAAGAAGTGAAACAAGTTTTTATTGATTTTAAGTTAGTAATTTTCAAATTTCTAGTTTCAAGTTGATGTTTGTTTATTCAGAAACATAATGATTAAAATTGTTACATGTTGTATATTAAAAATGTAAAATCAAACATGCATGGCTTATAATTTGATATTCCATAGATTTTCGTTTTTTTTTTTTTGATATTTTTGTCAGGCCTACACATAGAATAATTGGTCTTTGTTTTTCTTTTTAGCTGATTAGTTAAAAAAAAATTGTTTTATATCAGTTACTCAACTTTGTAAGTAAAATAATTTTAACACTTCATAGTATCAAATATTTTTTTTTAATGAAAGTTCACAACAAACTTTACACAACTAATGCTAGTATTAACACTTTGAAATCATACAAGTCTAAAATGAGCACTCAATGATGAACAAAAGTTTAATGAAATAAAATGTTGGAAATGAAAATAAAAATGTTAAGCATGGAAATAAAATCTTTGTTTTCTTTTTAGTCAATTCTATTTATTCTGTAAAATATCTTTAAATGTAATTCTATTACATTTTTAATACTCTTTTTATTTTCTTGATAACTCGGTAAGAAAAAAATGAATTTTATTTTATTTATTTATAAATGAATTTTATTTTATTTATTAAGTGTCAAAATTTTATTCGCTTTTTATATTTAATATCTCACATTAAAGTTAAATAATAGTAATAAATTTAATATAAATTTTAGTTCACTATTTGCAATTAAAATTTATGTGAAAATATAGCAAATTTTTTGTTTTAAATGAATAATATATTTATTTTTTAGTTTCATTTCAGTTTTTCAATTTAATTTAAAATTGTTATTATAGCAATTTTTAATTTCAAGTTTATCTATTGTAGGTAGAAAATTTACTTGGAACTTTAGTAAGTTTTTTTTACTTTTTTTTTTTACTAATTATTTTTAAAAAAATAATCAATTTTTTAAATGTTATAGCTTTAAAAAGACTTAATAGTAAAGGCCTTAACTTCATAGTGAATCCTTTATATACCCAAAATAAATCATAATATTGGATATATCATTTATATATGAATGTCATGAATATATTAGTTGTAAAATACAAACTCATGTCATGTACATTTGTTAATATATAATATAATTAAGATACTGTTTATAGATAAATTTAGTATATTTGTGACAAAAAATTATAGCATAAAAAAAACTAAAACAAAAAAAATTATAACGAAAACAAATTTAGTATATTTTTATAACAAAAAATTATAACATAAAAAAACATATATAAATTTTCTTTTAAAAACAACATTTTAAAGATGAGCTATAAAGTAAAAAAATAAGCTATTTCACTGGACCCAATGATTTTGTGTACGTACACAACCTAAAATATCCATTAAAGTCAACAACTGAAAATGTTGGGCGCCAATAGGAACAAGTTGTACTTAGTTGCCCAACATTTTACTCATTGACTTTGATGGATATTTCAGGACACCAAAAAAATAAACAACCCAACAAGAAAGCAAGTTAGATAAAATGTTGTGAAAAGTTATAAATTAGTAAAGTTAAGACAAATATTTTCTCAAGAGCAGGTTTTCTCTGTTATAACTAATTAGAGATTTTTTCAATTATTCAGCAAAAAGCTAGTTTTTTTTTCCAAGATTCATTAAGAAAAACTATAATAGTAAACTCAGAATAGTAGCCCAATCCACGTTCTCTTATTGCACAAAAAATGCCTATATGTTTTAAAATAACTTTCAATTTTCAACAAAACAGTCATTCCATAATCTTAACTTATTGTGGATTATGGAATGACTGTTTTGTTAAATTTTCAACAAAACAGTCATTCTATAATCTACAATAAGTGTTCTGTAGTGATCCTCAAAGTTTTTAACATGTGTTTGAAAGTCATGATGTAGTTTTAGTCCAAAAAAAGACTTGACCAAGTTGTTTAAAATTCTAAGCCCCTCTCATGTACTTATGGTAAGTTTTTAGGATTTTTCTGGAGGAATTCCCATTAAAAGCATTGTTCTGAACCTCTTTTGAAATGTTCAGAATTAAAACTTTAGCAATTTCATTTTCACTATCACATTTCTTTATATAATTTTAAATATTTTTAACAGCTTCCCTCATTATGTGTAGTCCTGTTGGAAAATATACCACTAAGTGGTTGCTGGTTTATGTATTTATCAGTGCAGGATTAATAACGTTGTAAATTCCTTTAGAATTACTTTTGATTGAACTTGATTGAGAGATTTTTGTATTGCCGCTCTAAAGGACCAAAGTTCTAAGCTTCTCTCCTTTAAATGGTTTCATTACTTTTTATTTGCAAGGTTGTTATTTAAATTATGACTGTTCATATAGAAACATTGTAGTGACTAATGACTTAAAAGCTAGTAGAAGTTATTTCAAAATATAAACTTTCTTTATATTTTGAACTCTGAGGTCCTTCATAAACACTCCTTGTTGTTTGTCTTTGTGATTATTTTTTTCAAAAATCTAAACCTACAATCTCACAATCTGACAGAGGTTCAAACAGATCTATATTATGAAAAACATTATTTTTACAAAACTTGGTACCTTTTTTTAGTTTTTTGTCAATCATACTGAAATATATTTGGAATGAGATGGAAAGAGGAAAAATATATTTTATTTACCTTTAAAAAGCCTTTTCCTCCATCAATACAAAGCTTGACTATTTGATCGCTTAGGTTTTCTTCTTTAATCATATCATGCAAATTGAATAGCTCCTCTATATCCGCACACTTGCTAGTAGGAAAACTTTCCTTTACTTACAAATTTATTTTCTTAACATCAAGTTCTTGAAATCTATTATAAACAAATCTTCAAGTACAATATCAATTACTGAAAGTACTTTTTTTCAGGTTTGTTTGTATGCAGGTTATTCCTCCTAATATTTTTTAAAATAAAATTTATCGATAATTAAGATTATTTTTATGTAAAAAGAGTAATAAATAGTATACTTCAAAAAATTATTTTACTTGGGTTTTTTAATTAGCTATATCAGTTTCTTGTTGAACAAAATAAGTCTTTATTGAATCATTCAGTTCAGAAATCAATCAGTTAAATCAATCAAAGTGATTTGTCTAGTTGTATTTGTAACTTTTAACATGTTTTGCACCATTCAAACTTCATAAGTGGTTTTTATAATGTTAATAACTTCTTTTATCTTACCGCTTAAATGATTTCTTTACACTTGTTTGAATATTAAAAAATGATGAAGAATGGCTTATGTGAAATGGCTTACTGCTTACGTTAAATGGCTTAGCACATATGTAAATGACACACCAGTTTACGCTTTCAAACATGGCCTTCATGTCATATCTAAATCTACTCATCGTAAAAAATCCAACAATAAATCATAAAACTAAAAAGTGATTAGAGGCATGTGTAATTGAGAATGTCAACAACAAAAATTTTTCTGGTGTCAAGCAAACAATTTGTTTTTTGTATAGCATTTCTCATTTCAAATATGCAACTCATTTTTCACCATCATATCAAGTTGTAAAAATATTTGGGTTCAAATCTTTAGTATTTGAACCCAATCTCATATCTGCTTTGTAAAAAAAAGAAAATTAAATAAAAACAATCAAACCAATCTTTACACACAGGGTGTGGCAATTGATCTGTAACCATTTTAACAAGCATGCATCATGAGTGGTATTTTATCTATGCTATTTTCAAGAATCAATCTTTAAACTGTTTTAAAGCAGTAGGCACAAACTCATTTTGGTAACAGACCATGGACTTTTCGATAGGACTCAGCACCATCACACAAAGCTTGGGTGAATCAAGATTGGTTTAGTGCGAATGTTTAAAGCTTTATTTTATCCCAACAATGGCTGTTATATTCACTAAATGCGAATTTCATAGATTTCTCCATTTGACACGTTCTAAGCCTATGTTAGAGTGCAATTACTTTCAAAAATAAACTGTCCCTATTTATAAAATTTTTTATTTTTGCTGATAAGCAACACTTTTAAACTTTTCAAAAATCTTAAACCTTAATTTTACAACTAAAATGCCGAAAAATAGTTTTTTACAAATATGTGATGTTGGATTTTAAATAAAGTGAAATTTTATTTTAAAAAATTTTAATTTTCTATCAAGGTGGCTTTTATTTAAAAAAAAAAAATTTATTTAAAAAAAAATATATTGCTAAATTAACTTTTTTTGATAAAATTATAAATTAAAATTAAATTCAAACAAAATAAATAAAAATAAATTAATATAAAATAAATAAAAATAAATTAAGATAAAAGTTATAGTTTAAAATAATAAAAAAGTAAAAATACTATTATTGTATTATTGTTGTCATTTTTCATGTTTTTATAAAAAAAAATTTTCTTTGGAGACTTACTTTGGAGTATTTTTTTTTTTTTTTTTATGACTTTAGCAAGAAAAATTTCAAACAATGTCTGATGGAATTCTCTCAAGAAATATCTTTTCAATATATAGATTTTTTAGTTTTTTTATTTTATTTAACTTGTATTTTTTATAGTTTTTTTATTTTATTTATATGTATTTTTTATGTGTTTTTAATCAGTTTGTTAAAAACTAAAAAACAAAATAACAACCATTAAAATTTGTTTACAATTGAAGAATGTAATGAATTTTAAAAGACATTCATCCAATAAAAGAATGTGCTTTGATTGAAATGGGCTTTTTGTTAAACTTGTTTATTTATTTTTTTACGTAAGTGAATTATTAAAAATAAAATAAAATTATAATTAGGTTTGGGAATGTTACTATTATTTATAACAAAATGTGCATTTCAGGATTTATATAGAAATTAAATAATTGTCCTTAGAAAATATTAAAATTGTTTATGCTTTAATTTATTTAGTAATATAGCAAAATTAGTACATCTTTTTTTCAGGGTGTTTGCCAGATCAGGGAAATCAGGAAAAAGTCAGGGAATTTAGATGTCTTCAAAAAAATCAGGGAAAATTAGGTCAAATTTTAGAAAAATCAGGGTTTTTACTTCTTATCTTATTTTAAAATCTCTTTAATTATGAGTCTTTTTTTTTTTAAACACTCAATTTAACTCTAAGAAAAACAGTTTTTTTAGCTTGATTAGTAGCTAACTTTAAGTAACTTACTAGTAGCTATTTGATGTTATTAGTTGTTTTTATTTTTTTTAGACTAGAACAAGTTTAAGTAAAATAAATAATGAACTCAACATATTTTGATGATCAGTGGTCACAAATACCACAATATAAAGTTGGGTTGATGTGTGGGGATACAAATACCTCAGCAATATGTAGAGTTTGTCCACATCCAAGAAATATAATTGAACTCTCTAATATGGGCCAGAGAGCGTTAACAAGTCATTCAACTGGAAAGAAGGGTTGCGAGCTTTTGTCTCTTCACTTAAATATGATATGTATACCATTTGTGTCAAAAAATATACATGTTGTAAGAACCACTTTGTCAGAAAACACGGCTCAAATTTCCACTCTTCAGTCATGTTGTGTCAGATTCAGTTATTGATACAGAAATCAGATAGACATAAAAATGTTTGTCATCTTTTTTTCTTTTTTTTTTGTTTTAATGATAGAGTTTCGATTTTGTTTAAATCAATGTTTCCTGACAGTGCTATATCTGAAAAGTTCTCTCTTCAAAAAGACAAGTACTCATATTATATATATTTTGGAATAGCTCCTTACTTTCAATCAGTTCTAATTATAGATTTAGATAAGTCAGACTTTTATGCTGTTTCTTTTGATAAAGGTCTTTAATCAGTTGTTCAAAATGGGGAAGATGGATCTTGTTGTTAATTATTGGGATAGTGTTTTAAACTGTCTTTGTACTAGTTACCTAGACTCAATCTTTAATGGACTTAGTCAAAGTAGAGATCTTTTGCATAATTTTTTATTGGGTTTGAAATCTTTGAATAAAATAAAACCAAACTTATTCAAGTATCTATGGATGGCCTAAATGCAAATTGGGTCTTCTACTCTGAGTTACAAAACTATCGCGCTGATAATGACATTAGCAAACTAATTCTTGTGGTCTTCATTCGATTCATCTATCATTTAAATCTGGGGAAAATTAAACAGACTGGGTTATTAAAAAAATTTAAAAACCCTTTATAACTTCTCCATGATTCTCCTGCCAGACAAGAAGACTGAAAGTAATCAATTTTCTCTTCTTTTTTGTGGTATTTGATGGGTTGATGATGAAAAGGTGACTAGAGCTGTTAATATTTAAGCGAGCATTTGTAAAATATGTAGGTTTTGGGAATCTCTACAAAAGAGTAAGCAGCCTTCATGCATGAGCTACCAAACTTTTTTATCTGCTACTAAGGGTTCTCTAGTTTTAGCAAAATTTTATTTTTTTGCTCTTACAACTCATATTATGCAATCCTTTTTAACCATATATCAATATGCTAAACCTATGATGCCATTTTTATATGGCAACTTTTATCGACAGTTAAAAGACATAATGTCAAAGTCCATTATAGCTAATATTTTAGCTAATATCAATGTAAAACTGCAAATAGTAAAATATTTTGACCCAGAAATAATGTGCAATAAAAAAATGGCAAAGGAAAGGATAAGTGATTTGGTTGATTACTTAATTCAATTGCATTGGGTTTCCCCAAAAGGTGGGGATGACATAAATACCGAATTCAAAATATATTTAGAAAAGATTGTCTCTAAAAACAAGGAACTTTCCATGAATTTCAACAAAATAAATAATAGATTAGATAAGATCTTTTTTTCTAAAGTTGATGGTTTAGATGAGTCCCCGGCACTGTCCAATTTAATCAAAATGGTGTTGACTTTTTTTCATGGTCAAGCAGCTTTTAAAAGACAGTTTAACATTAATAAGTATATGTTACAACCTAATTTAATCAGTAAATCATTAATAAGATAGTGAACTGTGTATGACCATATTAAAGCTCTTGATTTATACCTGAAATCTATAGTTATCTCTTAGGAACTGAGAGAATATGTCAAAAAATTATGGAGTCAACACAAGATTAAAATGACTGCTTGAAAAGAAACTGAGCTTACAGATGCTCAAAAGCAAAAAAGTGACTAACTTGCTGTAGACATAAAGAACTTATTTAAAAAGACTATTCTGGAAAAAGTAAAATAAAAAACACTAAAAAGTGATTGAGAAGCAATTCTTGTGAAAGCTGCAAATGATGCTTAAAAAGCTCATACTTATGCTGTTGAAGCAAAAGTTATTATTGAAGAGAGGAAAAAGAAAGAAAAAAAAGATATTAAAAAATTAGATGAAACAATTGATTTATTATTTAAGAAAAGTAAAGAACTTTGAAATTTTAGATATTAGTTTATTATATTTTAGTATATTTAGTTTAGTATATTATTAGTTTAAATATTATTATATATATACAATAAAATCTAAATTTATATTGATATATAAATGATATTTAAAAGTATATTATTAAAGTTATTTGTTTTTGAAAATATTTTTAATATTTATGTGGAAATACTTTTTCATTTTTTTTAATAAGAAAAAAAAATTTTGCTCAAAATTTCATTATTCTTTCAGTATTATTTTTTCTGAACCATTTGGTGTATTCTATTTTTCATCTTTTAAATATGTTTATTTTAGCTCTATATTTTACTAATACATTATTTGTGTAATTCTGTTAATTTTGTTCTGAATGCTATTTATCAAAACAGTTTTTTAGAGTCAATTAAAACTATTACAACTAAAACAATTACCGAGTCAATAAATTTTTACATTTTACTTTGATTAAATTTTAAATGTACTTTAATAACAATAATAATGACATTTATTATTATTCAATCTTTTTTAAGTCTGAAAAATTTCAAAATAACTGAAATAAAAATCAGGAAAAAGAGGTTGACGATCAGGGAAAAATCAGATTTTTGCAGACACCCTGTTTTTATATTAACAATTTAAAGTTTCCTATAGTTTTGTTTTTTGTTTTTACAAATTAAGGGAAACTAATTATTTCAAAACCAACCATACAATTTTGTGTGTAAATTAATTTTAAACTTTTCCTAACGTTAAAAATTTTGTATGATTTTACAAGCTGATGATGCTGGCAACCCCAATCTAGCTAAAATTTCAAATAAATTATTGTATTTAGAAAATTTGTATTATTTGATGTTTTTTTAAATATATATATATATATATATATATATATATATATATATATATATATATATATATATATATATATATATATATATATATATATATATATATATATAAAAGGCTGGGTGAATTAAAAAACAATTGCTTTTACTCAGTAATTGGTCAGCTTGAATAATATTCACGTAAATTTATCTTAATTTTATAACTATATTTATAAATTTGTCTTATTGTTTTACGATTCTCAATTTTTCTTTAACACTTGTTTTACTGGATGAAATGGGCAATCGTATAGACGAGCTGGAAAAGAATATTGGCGAGTTAATGCAGCAAGCCGGTATTGAAGATAACCCTATTGATAAATAGTTTTTTGCATGTAGATACCATATGTATAAATGTATATCAATGAATTTATTCAATAATTGTTTATTTAATTTACTTGTTGTTTTTCCAAACAAGGCCTATTTCTTATTCGACATTTATTTACGCGTAAGTTTGTTAAGGTAGTAAACCAGATTTTTACAAAAATTTGTAAATTGCGAAATATTACATAAAATGTTTTTTACTTAAATGAAAATATAATTAAAAAAATAATTATAATTTCTATTTTGAAAGATGAATTTAAAAAATCATGTAAAGTTCATAATGATGAGAAAAACATAAAAATAAGTTCTATGTTTGAAAATATTTTTCTGTAACTTTATCAAATAATTAAAACAGTAAAAGTAGCGATCAATTATTCTACGCTATATTTAGTTTGATTAAGAATTCTTTGCGCGCGTGTACAACGAATATTTTTTTATTTTTATTTATTAGCGTATATTTATTATTAATTGACTATTTCAACTTAAAATCTTGTGTAATTTAGTTGAATAATTTTCTAATATGAATTAAATTGATTTAAATATGTACTTTTTATTTAAATTGTTAAATATTTATTTTTTATTACATTTCTTTTATATAAAAGAATGCCTGCCAAAACTTAAAGGCGAGTTTCCGCTCATCCGTTTTTTCACGGGAACGGGATAGAAAAGGGAAAAATAACCACGTGACCATACGCAGTTTTCCTTCGGACATATTAAAACTTATATTACGCATGCCCATGTGATTATTTTTACCGTCCCGTTCCCGATGAGTGGAAACTTGTCTTTAGCCCTCAGTCGACGTATGTTCACTCCACTGCGTCTATCCCTATTTAAATCAGTCGATGTATGTTCACCCCTCAGTGACTACGGTTATAACAGTCGATTTATGTACTCGTTAAAAAAAAAACACTTAAAAAATAGAAAACAATTATACATTTATAAAATAGAAATTTTGGTTATTTAATGTCAAAAATGGTTCGAAATAATAAAAAGAGAGCGACAGAAGTCATAGAGGAAGATGTCAATAATGCTGTTCTCCAAATTGCAAATAGAATAATGAAGCCAAACAAAACTGCTATAACATATAATTTAAAATGTGATACTTTACATTACAGAATAAAGAAGTATAAAAATTTATTATCCAAGACCAAGTTAGGTTTTACAAGTAATTATACAATCGCACAAGTTTTTAATGAAGATGAGAAAATAATGTTGAAAGACTATCTAATAAAAAGCTCTAAAATGAAATATGGGTTGACATATAAACAAGCACAAGAATTAGTATTTCATTATGCAATGAAACTGTGCAAATGTCCAAGTATATGGATAGAAAATAAACAACGCCACTAAGAACTTTTACTTCGAAAACCTGAAAATACGAATTTGCCTCGCTCAACGAGTTTTAATGAGCACTATGTAAATCAGTTTTTTAAACTGAAAAAGTATTAAAAAAACATCATTTCACTTCTGATAGAATTTATAATATCGATGAAACCAACATTATTACAGTAGTACAAGTACCTCATGTTATAGAATCACATGGAACAAAACAAGTTGCACAGTGTGTATCTGCTAAAAAAGGACAATTAATTACAACGTGTGGTATAGAAAATGCCATTGGAAAATTGGAAAAAACTAGTCAGATGTTCGATAGAGGATCCTATTTTACTCTTAATGGATAATCATGAAAGCCATGGTATATTATATGCCATCAATTATTGTTTTGAAAATGGAATGGTGGTTTTAAACATTTCCTCCTCACTGCACACACAGAATGTAACCTTTGGATGTGGGAGTTAATGGTCCTTTTAAGGTGGTACACCACCAAATATTCTAAAATGTTCAAACTTAGAAAAAAACAGATGAATTTATTGTTAATTAAAGTTTCATCAATTTAGAATGCTATTTTAAACTTCATTTTACATTGCCTCGATTACTTTGCCTCGAATTTATCGAAAAACATTCATTTTAATGGGTCCATTCAAAACACGATAACTTGAAATATATTAACACAACATCGATGAAATTTTTTACATATGTTCTAGACATGTAAGGTAAGGTATTGACATTTGGATTTTAAAATATTCCAAGTACATAAAAAATTATATGAATTTTTTTACATCAAGTAAAAAAAAAAAACTTTTTTAGACATTAAAATTGAAAAAAAAAAATGATTGGAGCAGAATTTAAAAATTTCGAAATGTCATTCCCTAGAGAATAGTATAATAAACATTTCCTGAAAACTTGGAGTGATTAGCACTTCTGCTTCTCAAGATATCATGTTTACAATCAGACAATGTTTCGCAAAAGTTGAAAACGGAGAAAAACGCAAAAGAAGATTAAATATTCTTATCATTCCTATATAATTTTTTTTTAGTTAGTGAACTTATTAAAAAATTAAAAG